CACATGGCTCCGTGGGAGCGCTGCTCCTGCCTGGAGATCAATCGCACAATCCCCCTGTCTATGAGGAGGCAACTGCGTCGCCCTAGTTTTACTAAACACGAGAGCTAAATCCCCATATTCAGGCGGAATGTGCAGTGCGGGCACTTGGTTTGGACTTTCCACCGAAGTCGCCCCCACGGAAACACCCAGACATCGCCCCTCGCACTGAGCAGACCACCCATCGAGAGCCCTCTGTTGCCACGAAATAGCAGGGTTATGGGTGCTTAACCAGGGAATTCCCAGCACCACTGGGTACGCAGGAGAGTCGATCAGATACAGCTGTATAGTCTCTTCATGACCCCCCTGCGCACACATCCTAAGTGGCGCTGTGATCTCCCTAATCAACCCTGACCCCAACGGGCGGCTATCTAAGGCATGAACGGGAAAAGGTTTGTCAACAGGTAGGAGAGGGATCCCTAAATCTAAACAAAACTTCCGATCAACAAAATTCCCAGCTGCGCCTGAATCTACTAGCGCCTTATGCTGGGAATGAGGTGCAACCTGTGGAAAACAAACAGGTATACAAAAGTGCGCAACAGAAAGCTCTGGGTAAGTGGGACGTCTACTCACCTGGGAGGCCCCCCCCAGTGCGTGGCCTGTTGTCTTCTCCCCCGGAGAACCCTCCCCAGCACCTGGCCGCAGTGTGCCCTCCACGACCGCACTTGGTGCAGGAGACAGGCCCCCTCGGGCTCCTCCTCCTCCTTTCTCTAGCGCCGGCACCCCCGAGCTCCATAGGGCTCGGCTCGGAGGTGCCGGAGGGCGGAATGGACGGACCCCCCTCGGGACGTCCACGGGTGGCCAGCAGGGTGTCCAGACGGATGGACATATCGACCAACTGGTCGAAGGTAAGATGGGTATCCCTGCAGGCCAACTCACGTTGAACGTCCTCCCGTAGGCTACATCGAAAATGGTCGATGAGGGCCCGTTCATTCCACCCTGCGTCCGCCGCTAGAGTCCGGAACTCTAGAGCAAACGCCTGTGCGCTCCTCCTTCCCTGTCTCAGGTGGACTAGACGCTCCCCCGCCGCTTTGCCCTCAGGTGGATGGTCGAACACGGCCTTGAAGCGACGGGAGAACTCGGCGTAGGAGATGGTGTTGGCGTCCATCTTCCTCCACTCGGCGTTAGCCCACTCCAACGCCTTGCCCGTGAGACAGGAGATGAGGGCGGAAACGCTCTCGTGTCCCGAGGGCACCGGGTGTACAGTGGCCAGGTAGAGCTCCACCTGCAGGAGGAACCCCTGACACCCGGCAGCTGTTCCGTAATACGCCCTCGGGAGCGAGAGCCGAATCCCCCTGGGTTCCGGACCTGGGACTGGTGGACCGGCCGATGGGGTTGGCAGGGTAGGTGGAGGTGTGGGTACCCCGCTGGCCTCCCATCGGTGTAAGGTGTTGATGACGTCCTGTAGAGCGGTCCCCAGTTGTCGTATCTGGTCATCTTGCCCGCGGACATGCTCCTCGAGCGACTCAGGCGTAACTGCAGATCCTGCTGATTCCATTCTGGTGTGTGATTCTGTCAAGGGGTGCTGAAGGTGGGTGTGGTGCATGAATCAAGCGCAGGACGCAGAAGCTCAGTCCAAAATACTTTAGTGCAATATTCACGTAGGAAAATAAGCACAATAAGCCCGAAGGCGAAATCACGGCGCACACAGGCGTCAAACAAACAGCGCACTAACATGTGCGAAAAACCTCTCCAAAACACTGGAGGGAAGTACGTAGCTCCAACACGAAAACAGAAGAGCAATCACACACAAAGACAAACACAACCAACGAGAACTAAATAGGACACTAACGAGGACTAACAAGACACAGGTGTACAACATCAAGACAAAACCAAACGAACATGAAACATAGATCGGTGGCAGCTAGTACTCCGGGGACGACGACCGCCGAAGCCTGCCCGAACCAGGAGGAGGAGCAGCCTCGGCCGAAACTGTGACACTAAGCAGAAGAGAGTTGGCAGAGTTAGTCCGTGGTACATGAGGACCAGGCCTGAGAGACACTTATACAAAACAGTATGTCACTATGGACTGGCTCCAGTCCCGGGCTAGCTGCTGTCACTCATTCATGATTATACTTTTTATGTGTGTGTAGAGTTATCTGTGTGTGTGTGAGAGAGAGTCTATGTTTGCATGCGTGTGTGTTTGCACGTGCATGCTGTGAGTGTGTATAAAGCTCATGTGTACCAACTTCCCCTGTTCTCTCCACAGTGCGGTGGAACTTGAATGACCAGAGTAAGCACTTCAGACTGAATGTAATGGAGAACCTTGCCACAGGCCTCATCTTCATCATCGTAGTAGTCAACGTCTTCATCACTGCCTTCGGAGTACAGAAACCCAATCAGAAAGCCTGACCAGGACACGGACAGGCATCACCACCCCCTTAGGTACACACACACACACACACACACACACACACACACACACTCTTTCTCTCTTCTCCCCTCTCTCTCTCAAACTCAAACAGGAATTGTTTGCACTTTCCCCCAATAGTTTGTCCATGACTCAGCAGCTGTCCTGTTCTCCCTATCTCCTGACCTTCCTAAACGCCCCTGCTCCACCAACCTGACCCATAAACACGCACTGTTCCAGGGCTCCACGGAAACTTCCACTAGAAAACACCCCCCAACAAAACTCAACTACTGTTTGTCCAGAACCCTTTTGTCCCAATGAGAGAGAGGTTTGCTTTCATAAACAACACTGTGTGTTTGTGTAGGAGACCAACAGGAAAACAGAGACAACAGCCAGGGACCATGTGACCTCACTGTCTGCCTCCTGCCCTGTCCCATAGTTATCCCCAGCAAGCAAGCACACACACACATGCACGCACACACACTTTCCCTATCTCTCTATCTCGCTCACTCTCACTCACACTCACACACATATACTCCGACACACAGCATTGAGGAAGGCTGAGCACCGAGTTTAAATGTTTTATCACATTTATGAGGTGAAAGGAGGACGTCATGGGTCTTGTCCAGACAGCCTGGGCCACTGGGCCTGACAGGTCTGAGCAGAACATGTATGGAAAGAAAGAGTCTGTGCCTCACTCTCAAAACACTGACCTACGCTTAGCTAAACATAGAGAACACATTCAACTTGTGTCTTGGTCTCGTAGTATCATATCAACTGCATTTAAATGGAGCAAATCGTTGCAGCATTGAGTAGCAGTTGATGTGAAACTTGATCAATAAAAGAGCTAGCTGGCTAGTTGCACCACTGATGATCTTGTCTCAGACCAAGACACACAGAGGAGCTGTGAGAAGAGTGCATGGTTATTTTGGTTGTGTGGTGACTCACTATCATCAGATGCAGATAGAGAAAGAACTGCTGATTAAAACTGAGGCCTTGATTAGACTGTGTCTCAGTACTGTCACCGCATACACAATTAACATGTCACTTTCTCAGACTCTGTACATCCTTTTACCATTGGTTAGCTTAATGTAATAGAAATAGCTAAAACAAATCTAGTTTGACGGTTCTGTTCTTACCGCTCAAAATAAGATCATATGGCATTGTAACCCTAGGTTTGGCAGGGACACCCATAACTGCTATTGTAGCTATGTACTGATGGAGTCTGAGGGAAGGTGACATCATAAACTAATGACACATTTTCCCCCTTTCTTTCCCATAGCTTCCATTGGTAACCATGGAATCACGCAGACAGACCATGATCCAGATAGTGACACACAGATCCACTCTAACCAGGACCATAGACAGATCTATAAACATTCTGTATATATATTGCTCTCATGCACTGTTTCTGGCTCTAACTCAGTGTAATACCCCTGAGTTGGTTGGAGGAGGCAGTCTCTGGAATGAAAATAACATCTGAAGGATTTCATATTCAGATGCGCATCATCATCATGGCTGCAGATCTTTCTAAGTGGGACTAATAGCTGTCTGTCTGTTAGGACTGGGAATACTGGGATTCAAACAGAACAATCACTCTAGTGACACCCTCCCAACTCCCTGTAACACCTGCCCACCCCCTCACCCCTCCGATCTGCCGCTCACCCCCTTATACCCATTCTGTCCCTCGCCCTCCCATCCGCTCTTTGATCTGGGTCTCTCTACAGACAGGAACAGATATGGAAACACAGAGCTCACTGAAGCAAAGCTGCTGAGAATAGACACCAGGAATCTGACTGCCACAGAGAATCATCATCTACCAGACGTCACTCATCTTCTATCTCACTGTAACCAGTATGGGTACTAGAGGAGATTCCATAGAGGAGAAATACACATCTTCACTTGAACTGCAGAATACTAACCACACCTGTCCGGAAGTGTAAAGCTGCTCTGGCACTTGTGATCATCTTCATAGCAGTTCATTTCATCATCCTCTTTGTCTTCCCCGCAGATGTCTCTGGACTAGGTCAGGAGTGCCCTCTAGTGGTATTGTTGGTGCCATTGCAATGATGTGAGATCTTCGTATTACATTGTCAGGTTACCACTCACAGATCTACCTCCTGCTCTGGTAACGAATTAATGTAATGTGTAAGTGTGTTATTTGTGTAAACCAATCACATTTTTGTGTGAAGTTTTGTATTGTATCCCACCCCTGATTTACTTCCAAACAAGTCACACCAAAATTAAATGTTAAAAAGTAGAGCTGTTACTAACACTAGCAGTGTTTTAGCATGTGTGTACAAGTATGTGCAGTAGTCTATTCTTGTTTTTTCCCCTACTATTCTTAAACAGAATAGTTATGCTTTATTTGTCCTATTTCACACATGTACAAGTGTGTATTAATATGCATGTGTGAATTGGATATGTGTTTTTTTGCATTTTCCACTATCCGCGGGACACCCCGGAGAGTGGGGTCACGGAATTTGCCTGGTCTTTGCTTCAAAACAAATTATCTTCAACTGGTGCAACTATCAAAACGCAACCAAACACTTTCCAGTATTATAGCACATTCACATTTCTTTCCATCAAAAGAAAACAAAATTCAAGATAAGAATTCTGTTATTTATTATGGTGATATTCCTCAGTTCTCTGTTAACAATGGGTTAGAAACAAGCTGTAATTGTGAAACAGTCTCTCAGTGCAACTACATGTGAAGACATGCAAGGGGTAGTGTAAGGGTGACTTGGAGACTGCGAATAAGCTGTTGATTGTTGATCACAGTGTTAGGAGGCACTGAGCGGTGACAATGGATGTGTTGCTAAGGACACTCAGAAACTGTGGTGTGTAAAACACAGTGACAACATTCAAACAACAGACTGGTTAGGCTTTCAGTCTTTCAGTTCAAACTGAGGTACACTGCAGACTTACAGTCTCCTTCCACTCCTGATATGTGAAGAAATCATTCATTCCCTCAGTAAAAATTAAATGTTTAGGGCTTTCAAGTTAGCCCACAATCAAAGGTTCAGATTAAGTTAACCATTTTGGTTTCCTGTGATGTTTAAGAAAGCATATATGACACTTTTACAAAGAGCATTGAGGCACTATGTCTGATTATACAAAGACATATTCAATGAATAAGTAAAATGTTCACTTAAAAATGCAGGGGTACTGTTAAAATACAATACTACTTATAAGTATGTACAAATCATTTAAAAAAAGAATAGCACCTTTTAGTTCCCCCTGCTGGTAAATGTTTGGCATTGCAAAGATAATTGTTTTAGCATTTTCCCAAAATGTCATTCTTTAGCATTTCTCACTGAATATGGCCTTATTGAATTCTGGATCCATCCTTGGCGTAGGCTAGGAGAACCTCACTGGTCTCTCTGCCCAGTCCCAGCACTGAGAAGCTCAGAAATGGACCAGTACCACTCAAATTACCCTCTGTAGGACAGAGACAGAGGGAAAGGAAGTGAGGAATAGAGAGAGAGGGGAAGAAAGAAATAGAGAGAAATAGATAAACGTGAATGACAGCGAGAGCGTGATAGGTCAAGGATAAAAGGAAAGCATTGGGGAATAAAAGTGGAGAGAGAGGGAGGGTGAATGCGTCGATGACACTATATGAAACACAACCGTCTATTCCTTCCATAGTTACCAAATCAGTGCACGTCATTGCACAGTGAACATCCGCTTCTAAGGCATTTTCAATCATTCAATGGGAAACCTTTTCTTCCTGAATGAAGACTTACCTCCATAATAACAGAGCAGAGCTAAGCCCACTGCAAGGCTGAAACAACTCAGGAAGAACAGAGGTCCTGCAGAGAGAAAGAGAGAGATAGTATGCATCGTCTTGATGAGGGGGAACTGGACCGTGTAAATGGTAAGACAATCTCATAACATGGTAGACAGAGACAGACAGGCAGCATCATACTGAGTGATGTTATACCCATGGCTTCCTCTAAAGAAAACATCTCTCTCGCGGCCGTCTGATTGGTAGTTACTGGTTCATTAGAACTGTATATCAGAGATGACCCACTTCTCTGTTGGACGTTACCTTTGACCTACTGTAAGCATAACAAAGTTGTCAAAGGAATGAGGATAGAGGTTGGTTTGCGTGTGTGTGTGCGTGACACGTGAGCTGGTCTGACCCATAAAAGCAGAGAACTGGGGCTGATCAGACTGAATGGAGGTTACTAAAATGATGCTTAGCTGAGGTTATAGAGGTAACAGATTTGCATTCTGAAGGAACTGTCAACTTGTATCCAGTCAAGTCCTTAGTTATCGTTGGCACTATAGTGTAATATTACATATACCCCTGTCATTAAGTACATATCTCTCCATGCGGCGGGCCACAGTGTTAGTCCCCATTGGGTCTGCAGGCTCTAGAACAGAGACACACGGAACACTGTTAGTCCGTCTCCACAACATCACACACAGACACACAAATCAGCAAACATCTGCAAATAGGACATTTACAGTGAAAGAGACAGATATAGAAACACACAGAGAAGGAGAGAGAGGGAAACAACCGGTATACAGACAGACAGACACACAGCAAGAGATCAGTAAATCTCCTCAGTGCTGTACCTCTTCTGCGGCTGACTCTGGTAGGCAGGTTGAAATAGACCTCGTAGGCGTGGATCTGAAGCCCCCTGTACAACTCATGACACGCCTCCTCTCCCTTCCCCTGCAGGTGCACCAGCAGCTCAGCCAATCGTACCGCAGTGGGCACACTCAGGTTCCTGAACTGGAGCAGAATTAGACAAGCATCCAATCACAAGTGTCCAAACAACTGCCTTATGTCCAATTATTCGTAGTGCATTCATGGATCTGTAATAAGTCCTTCATCCTGACTGTTATTGTCCAGTATTCCCTAGAATCACAAAATACAACACAACAAATTGCAAAAACAGAAAGATTGCGAATTGCATGACCACTTGTGGCTGTATATGTAGAGGCCTAGAGGGTGAGGGTGCCCTGGTAAGAGTGGTGATGTAAAGCTGTGTGCACCTTGAAGTGAAGTACTCAATCCCCTCAGAGATTTAACATACTCACTAGGCTACTTACCCTCTGGGCCTCCTTGTCAGTCAGTATCTGAGGGTAGGTCCTGTTGAGCTGCAGCACCAGCCTGTCCACCAGCTCAGTGTGCATCCTCTGGTCTGAACACAGGAAGTGGGAGTCCCTATGCAGCTGCACATGGTAGCCGTCTGAGCCTGACCAGGGAGCTAGGGAATGCAGGAGATAAGGCACAAATAAATACACACTTTAAATAAAGGATATTTTTTTATTTTTTATTTGTATGTATAGCAAACATAGGACTTTGGTTTCAGAAGCACATACATGGTCTCTTGCAATGCAATAGAGTGACCAAGGCACGCCCCTAAGGCACGCCCCTAAATGCTGTAACTGAACTAGTGTGACTGAGGTCGGATTAAAGAGGCAGGTCTAATTGTAACTGAATCCTTGGCACTGAACAGCACCGTTGGCTGTCTACACTACAGTCTATTCTGTTAACCAGTGTTGTAGGCATTAGTCCTTCAAGAGGAATTAGTGGTTAAGAGGTTTAGTGTCCCCTTTTAGAAACATTAATTGATCTTGTCACGCAAGGGGCACACTGCCTTAGTGAAGATGCACCTTGCAAAAGAGAAAGTGTTTACATTCAGTATTTACTCTCGTTGGCTACAGTGTTGCATGCATGGCAACATTAGTTGAAGCATTGCTTGCATAACCCTTGGTACAAAGTATCAAATTGCTGTTGGCATATATATATTTATATATGTTATAGTAGGTCTACTAAAATGTAAATCATATTTACAGTATTTGTGATGAATGTAGGTCAAATGTTGGTAAAATAACCAAGTAAAATACGACCAATAGGCTACTGTAGCTTGATTTGTTATTGCGATTGAGAAGGTCAGCAACAGCAAGCCAACAGGTCGTGGCGGCGACGCGACATGATGGCGATAGTGTGTGACAGATTGTCCTCTGCTGCGCATGATTCGTACATAACCAACTCAAAAGTCCAAAAGCTCTATTCAAATTCACTAACCTGCCATGGAAGAAAACGGAGATAAGGCTTGAGGCTTCCCCCTGTTCGACCGATGACCACCTCTTAGCTAACTTCCTGCTCTCCCTACTTTGACGCTCTTTCCATGTTGACAGCACAACCGGCCGTGCTGTAGCCTAGTGCACGAAGGTCTATAAAGAGTGGCGTCACCGGCTGATAAATGGTAGCCCAATAGTTAAATGTCTAAGCTACTATGTAAGAATGTGTACCTACACTGTTATTACACGGTAGCCTACCTACCTATGGAACTCATTTTGTATTGAATTTTTTACATTTTATTTAACATTTTCCATACAGACAAAACCAACAATATTTTCATACAGACAAAACCAACAATAACACTATATACATTTTAGTCATTTAGCAGACGCTCTTATCCAGAGCGACTTACAGGAGCAATTAGGGTTAAGTGCCTTGCTTAAGGGCACATCGACAGATTTTTCACCTAGTCGGCTCGGGGATTAGAACCAGCGACCTTTCGGTTACTGGCACAATGCTCTTACCCACTAAGCTACCTGCCGCCCCTGTATACAGCTCTGGAAAAAATTAAGAGACCACTGCAACTTTTTCTTAAATCAGCATCTCTACATGTATGACAGCCATTCCATTCCAGTGTCTGTTGAATTCCAACACAGGCACACCTCATTCTACTGAATTAGGTACTGATTAGGTGATCACATGAACCAAATCTTATTTAACGAGGAAAAGTATAAAAACCACTGCTGTGGTCATCACTATCCTCTTGCAATAGGACCAGCTGGATGGCAAAAACAGTGCTAATAGTACCTCAAAAGTAATATTAATAAAAAAAATAACTATTGACCATGCCAAAAGAGTTGAAAATGAATGTTTTGAGTGAGGAAAAGAAGGGTTCAATTCTGGCTTTACTGGCAGAGGGATACAGTGAGCGTCAGGTTGCTTCCATCCTTAAAATTTCAAAGACGGCGGTTCATAAGAACAAGGTCAAGCAGCAGACATTGGGGACAACAAAGCTACAGACCGGCAGAGGGCGAAAACGACTCTCTACTGACCGGGATGACCGCCAACTCATTCGAATGTCACTCAACAACCGTAGGATAACATCAAGTGACCTACAAAAAGAATGGCAAACGGCAGCTGGGGTGAAGTGCACAGCAAGGACGGTTCGAAACAGGCTCCTAGGGGCAGGGCTGAAGTCGTGCAAAGCTAGAAAAAAGCCCTTCATCAATGAGAAGCAGAAGAGCCAGGCTGAGGTTTGCAAAAGACCATAAGGATTGGACCGTAGAGGACTGAAGTAAGGTCATCTTCTCTGATGAGTCCAATTTTCAGCTCTGCCCAACACCTGGTCATCTAATGGTTAGACGGAGACCTGGAGAGGCCTACAAGCCACAGTGTCTCGCACCCACTGTGAAATTTGGTGGAGGATCGGTGATGATCTGGGGGTGCTTCAGCAAGGCTGGAATCGGGCAGATTTGTCTTTGTGAAGGACGCATTAATCAAGCCACGTACAAGGTTGTCCTGGAAGAAAACTTGCTTCCTTTTGCTCTGACATTGTTCCCCATCTCTGAGGATTGGTTTTTCCAGCAGGACAATGCGCCATGCCACACAGCCAGGTCAATCAAGGTGTGGATGGAGGACTACCAGATCAAGACCCTGTCATGGCCAGCCCAATCTCCAGACCTGAATCCGATTGAAAACTTCTGGAATGTGATCAAGAGGAAGATGGATGGTCACAAGCCATCAAACAAAGCCGAGCTGCTTGAATTTTTGTGCCAGGAGTGGCATAAAGTCACCCAACATCAATGTGAAAGACTGGTGGAGAGCATGCCAAGACGCATGAAAGATGTGATTGAAAATCAGGGTTATTCCACCAAATATTGATTTCTGAACTCTTCCTAAGTTAAAACATTACTATTGTGTTGTTTATAAATGAACATGAACTGATATTCTTTGCATTATTCGAGGTCTGACAACATTGCATCTTTTTTGTTATTTTGACCAGTTGTCATTTTCTGCAAATAAATGCTCTAAATGACAATATTTTTATTTGGAATTTGGGAGAAATGTTGTCAGTAGTTTATAGAATAAAACAAAAATGTTATTTTTACCCAAACACATACCTATAAATAGTAAAACCAGAGAAACCGATAATTTTTCAGTGGTCTCTTAATTTCTTCCGCAGCTGTATATATATACACTACCGGTCAAAAGTGTTAAACAAATCAAAATATATTTTATATTTGAGATTCTTCAAATAGCCACCCTTTGTCTTGATGACAGCTTTGCACACTCATGGCATTCCCTCAACCGGCTTCATAAGGTAGTTGTCACGCCCTGGCCGTGAGAGGCCTGTTGTCTTTAGCTGGTTTGGTCAGGGCGTGAGTTTCTATGTTCTATATTCTATGTTTACGTTCTAGTTAGTCTATTTCTATGTTTCTATGTTTCAGTTCTAGGTTGTGTGTCTATGTTTGGCCGGGTGTGATTCCCAATCAGAGACAGCTGTCGCTCGTTGTCTCTGATTGGGGATCATACTTAAGTAGCCTGTTTGCCTACCTTAGTTGTGGGATCTTGTTCTGTGTTAGGCTTGTATGTGTTTAGCCTGAGGACTTCACGTTACAGTGTTTCTTGTTTTGTTTATTGAGTTAAATAAATATGTACGCTTTTCACGTTGCACCTTGGTCTGACCCGTCTCTCAACGATCATGACAGAAGATCCCACCACAAAAGGACCAAGCAGCGTGCTCAGAAGGAGCAAACGCCTGGTACTCAACAGGAGCCTACATTGGTAGATGTCCTCCTCGGTTGGGGGAAAATCACAGAGGAGGAGGCCGTCCGTTACGGTAAGGCAATGAAGGAGGAAGCCCGGGTAGGAGAGGATCAACGGCGACATCCACGAAGCCGGCAGAAGAGGAAGCCCAAGAAGCAGCCCCAAGAAAATGTTGAGGGGGGGCTCACGGGGTGGACGACGAGGCAGCAGGAGTCTGGGAAAGGGCTGACTAGAGAGGAGGAGGACGCTATTTTAGAGGTCCTCCAAGACCTGCGGATCGAGAGAGAAGAGCCCCGACCACTACACCCGGTGGGGTTCCAGTTGGAGTCCCTACGACCATGGGAACAGGAATGGGAACAGTTTTACACTGGGGAGTCGGAGGATGACGACGACGATGAGTTTCTGTTCCCTAACTCGTGGGGGCTCCCGGAGGAGTCCTCACTGGAGGAGGATTAGGCGCGGAGAGAGAAGGACTGGAACAGTCGTACATATCCAACACCAGTTCCCAGGCCGGTACGCCCCGTGCCTGCTTCTCGCAACAAGCCAGTGGTGCGTGTTCCCAGTCCGGCACGGCCCGTGCCTGCACCTCGCACCAAGCCAGTGGTGCGTGTTCCCAGTCCGGCATGGCCCGTTCCAGGACAGAAACACGCACCTAAAATGGAGTCAGCAGGTACAGTCAGTCCGTCCGGATCTTGGGAGGAACGTATCCAACGGCAGGCGAGCAGGATCCAGGTGCTCGGCAGCGCAATGGTGTGCGTGGTGAGTACATTGGAGCGATGGGAGAGAGGTGGCGTTTCTACACCTCCTCCAACCACACAACTCACTCGACCTCCAGCGACGGTCCCCTGCAGGGAGCACTTTAGCGTGTCGGTGCCCAGTCTGGGGCCGGCAACCAGTCCTATTACAGGGCCCGTTCCTGCTCCTCGCACCAGACCTGTGGTGCGGGTCCCCAGTCCGGCCCGGCCCGTTCCTGCTCCTCGCACCAGACCTGTGGTGCGTGTCTCCAGTCCGGCCCGGCCCGGCCCGTTCCTGCTCCTTGCACCAGACCAGTGGTGCGTGTCCCCAGTCCGGCCCGGCCTGTTCCACCGGTGCCTGGTCCAGCAACGGTCAGCGGCTCCACTCCGGAGTCAGAGCAGTCCGCCCCACCGGGGTCCAGTTCAGCTCCGGTCAGCGGCTCCACTCCGGAGCCAGAGCAGTCTGCTCCACCGGGGTCCAGTTCAGCTCCGGTCAGCAGCTCCACTCCAGACCCAGAAGTCAGCCCCTCTCCAGGGTTGGGGCCTCCCACACCAGGGTCCAGACAGGGCTTGGTGCATCGTGGGGGGATTGCCGATCCAGGCCCAGACGTCAGCCCCTCTCCAGGTTCGGGGTCTCCCACACCAGGATCCAGACAGGGCTTGGTGCATCGTGGGGGGATTGCCGATCCAGGCCCAAACGTCAGCCCCTCTCCAGGATCGGGGTCTCCCACACCAGGGTCCAGACAGGGCTTGGTGCATCGTGGGAGGAAGGAGAGGGGAAGCATCACGCCGAGGTCCACACCAGACCAGGGGCACAACGGGGAGGCAGAGAGGAAGAGGTTGTCACGCCCGGAGCCAGATCCGCCTCCGAGGCTGAAAGCCCACCCGAACCCTCCCCTAATGAGTCAGGTTGGTGCGGCCGGAGTACGCACCTTTGGAGGGGGTTACTGTCACGCCCTGGCCATGAGAGGCCTGTTGTCTTTAGCTGGTTTGGTCAGGGCGTGAGTTTCTATGTTCTATATTCTATGTTTACGTTCTAGTTAGTCTATTTCTATGTTTCAGTTCTAGGTTGTGTGTCTGTTTGGCCAGGTGTGATTCCCAATCAGAGACAGCTGTCGCTCGTTGTCTCTGATTGGGGATCATACTTAAGTAGCCTGTTTGCCTACCTTAGTTGTGGGATCTTGTTCCGTGTTAGGCTTGTATGTGTTTAGCCTGAGGACCTCACGTTACGTTGTTTCTTGTTTTGTTTCTTGTTTATTGAGTTAAATAAATATGTACGCTTTTCACGCTGCACCTTGGTCTGACCCGTCTCTCAACGATCGTGACAGTAGTAACCGGGAATGCATTTCAATTAACAGGTGTGCCTTATTAAAAGTTAATTTGTGGAATTTCTTTCCTTCTTAATGCGTTTGAGCCAATCAGTTGTGTTGTGACAAGGTAGGGGGGGGAGGTATACAGAAGATAGCCCTATTTGGTAAAAGACCAAGTCCATATTATGGCAAGAACAGCTAAAATAAGCAAAGAGAAATTACTTTACGACATCATTACTTTACGACATGAAGGTCAGTGAATACGGAACATTTTAAGAACTTTGAAAGTATCTTCAAGTGCAGTCGCAAAAACCATCAACCGCTATGATGAAACTGGCTC